AAGTTTTCTCAAGCCTCGATTAACAGCTAGTATATCAAGTTTTATCTTGTTGATTAACTTTGGTTGGTCAAATTCACAAACACATGGTGGACAAAATAATTTTTTGGACAAATCCATGCATAACCATTAATACCACCAAACACGGTTGAAATTAGAAGAAGGGTTAAACCATACAGGGTTCTTGTTGTTTTGGGCTTTGAATTTGCAGAAGAAGTACAGATTCTTGAGCAGCACTTCCAGATCATGTTTCCAGAGAACGTCCAGATAGCAAAAAGATGATTGCAGCTTAAAGTCAGAAACTTTTGGATACCCTCCTACCAGTTGAGTTTGCAACAGCTGCTTGTTGGGTAGTTTGTGTTTTCTCTTAAGAGTGCTCAGGGCACCAACCAAATGACAAAAAGACTTCGAAATTTGGGAGAAGAGGAGATGAAACCGAGTAGGTGTTTAAAGGACAAAAATGCTCTCATGGTGCATAAAGTTGCAGAAATAGGTCAAGATGTTTCAAGAGAACAGACAGCTTAATGCTAAGGTTTGACTCATGTTTTCCAGGAAAATAAGTTTCCTTGCTTAATGAGTTTCCATTTTTTATCAATCTAAGGTTTCCTTTGATTCTACCTATTTATGAAAGATGGCAAGGAAGACTACTAAACACCCTCACCCTTCTAGTCTGCTAAAGGTCTAGAAACTCATGTTATAAAAAACAAAAATAATAAAAAAAAAAGGAGAAGAAGAAGAAAGGAGGGGGGTACCTTTGTCACTCTAAATTGAGAAGATAGGTTTAAGGTCACCTTTGAAATTCACTTGCTTCCTTTAATGATTGCCCATAGTTGAAGCATCAATGACACCATTTAATTTTTTGGTACATCAAAGGGTTAATTGCTTGGTATTGCAGAGGTTTGAACCTTTGACTCCAAATCAAGGTTTTTAAGTTAGTAAGTACCAACTTGACTAAGCTCTTACTGGTATCAATGACACCATATAAACATAATGAAAACAGATAGATCCACATTACATGAAGAGGAAGAAGGCAATGGTTCTTTCAATGCCTTAAGGGATGTACTTTTTTTGTAGAGTAAAAAGAAAAGAGGCTGTTAGATATATATTGGCATATTGCATACATAGAGGTAGTACTCTAAGTCCTAATGCCAATTTGTCAAAGGCACACACCTGAAGTTATTTAGGAAATATTAGGCATTTTTAAGACATGCTAAATATTGGCTTGAACACTAATGTAAAAGTGGTAGCTTTCTTCCTTTTATAGTAGTTTCTTAATTTTATATCAGTTTTCATCCTACTTTATTACTTGACAAGAAGCTCCATAATAAAACAAAGTAAATGAACATCCACAAAAATAAATTCTGGCAACACATTCCTAATTTTATTTAACTGAAGAAAATTTACGTTTTTACTACTCCCAGTAATTCCAGCCAGTAGCACCCAAGCAACTTAGCAAGTTGGCCAACAAGCTGGCCTACAGCTTCTGAAACTGCAGAGACAAAAACATATTCACCTTTCTTAGGAGAACAGATTTCATAGAATCCTGGAAGCATTACTAAATAGAAAGGCATGCAAAATATCACACAGGACACAGGACACAGAACAGAACTAAGCTATGCAGTTAAAATTTAATTCAGATGAATCCAGATGCCCACCAGAGATGCAACTTAATGTGTTAATGTGTTTCAACAAGGTGAATCCAGATGCCAACCAGAGATGCAACTTAATTCTCTTGTCATCCAAGAAAATCTCTAGTTATTCTTATTTCTTCAATATGGGGTTCAGCAAGCAGACTTCCACACAAATTCTATTCATGCTGTGCTGGCATTTAAGACAATCCTAGCGATGGTGGCAATAGTTTTCTGCTTTGAAACCAAATTTTTAGATGAATAACACAAGAAGTTTCAGGAAAGTGTTTTCAGAAATTAAAAGAAGTATGGTCACTAATGCATTAACTGAATTATTTCTTCAAGTCTAGAGATACAAGATTGTACCATGAAGACCCACATGGCATGATAGAGGGATATACGCATCTGGCTGAATTTTCCTCAGTTTCCAAGTTTAGTCAATTAAGCTATATTCCTCCCACCTAGACCCAATTATTCCTGAAAGTACATCTATTGGTTTCAAATATGGTTATCAGAGTCACACTTTTGCCACACAACATCCTGAATGGACTTCACCATAGTAAACAATTGTTAATTGATTGGAAAGACAAGCAGTATATCCAAATCCTACAGAAAAATATCCTTGTCCACCTTCATGTTTTCACAACAGTATACGAAGAGGGTAACATACCATGCCTATCTAATAGGCCTTTAACTGTTTCTGAGTTTCTAAAGGTTTTGATAAGTTAAAAGTATTACGACCCAATGATTAAAACTCATATCGGCAACATTCTACACTGCCTTGGAAAATCTCACAAATAATTCCACCATTGTACCATGTTTTTCTTTTTTGACAAAAAAGAACCATGTTTGTCTAGCATATAGTGGAGATAGAACAGTTTGATAAAATAAATCTTAAAACAAAGTCAAAGAACCATATAATTAGTTACCAATATGTAAAGAGAAAATTAAAATTGAATGGTCGCGTGGGCAGCAGGTGTCTTCATGAATGTTGCAAATAAAAGGGAGAAAGTTTGTAATTAAACCAACGAAGAACCTCTGGAGAAGTTATTCAGATATGAGCGACGCTACCTAGCACAACAAACAAGTAACAAGCAAATGTATCTGCAATGAAAATGTCCACAACAAACCCAAACAAGAAATTTGAGCAAAAGAACAGAAATTTGGATGCAACATATAAACCAATAATAATCCAAACACAATATGTAAGTATGTAACAAAATCCCAGATAAACCCAATAAACAAAAAAGAAAAAAAAAAAAAAAAAAAAAAAAAAAAAAAAAGAAGAAGAAAGAAGTAGAGGATGATGGATACCTGGTAAGGGACAAAAGGGGAATACAAGAGCCATGTAAGTCAGGGATGCAGCTACCCTTTTGATGCTCGAGCTCTACTTTACTTTCCCAATCTTAATTTCTATGTCTGTCTCTTTTGGTGCTCCCAGCCCCATATACCCCATGAACACACCTGCTTGTATTCCACTTTCTCCATCAGATAACAACAATCAAGTTCAAGATTTTGAGGGCAGACTGGATGTGGGTTTTGCCTGATTTGAGGAAAAACACTAAAATAGAGTGTTTCTGCTCAGTAAGGTGCGAAGCCAATCGCCCGTCATTGCTTTTCTGTTAACATTTTACGTCAGGATATAATTGCATTAATTTCCAAAGATCAGGGAAACGATTGCAGAAAAAATTAGAATTGAACCCCTCGAAGTTTACAAATTTTTTGTTTTCGTATGAATACGGTTTAACTTGTGTATTTAAATTGCAGGTTAAAATTTATTAATTAAATTATTTTTAATTAATTTTATACAAATTTTTATATTAAATTTATAAATTTTTATAGATTTGAAATATAAATATTATATTATATTATATTTTTATATATTATATTAAAATTTTTTTTTGAACAAATTCGTAAGAGGTCGAATTCGAACCGTTGCCCTGACGTGAGAAAATGCACTTATATTTATACGTAATCTGACGTCACTGGACCTGATGGCCCAAATGTTATTATATTTAAATCTTATATAAAAATTTGTATAAAATTAACATTAAATACTTAATTAACGAGATTTATATATCTTAAAGGGCATAAATTAAAAAAATTCTTTTTATTTATTTGTTTGGTTCAGTTAGGCCCTTATATATTCTCTTCTGGAGGTTACTATGGGCAAATAATCAACGTCCTTTTGATCTTTTCTCTCTATACTGTCACTGTATTGTGCAAATATCTACTGGCGGCTCGTTTGAAATTATTTGCACCTAAATAAA